TTTTTAAATTGTTCGTAGTATATTGAAATATAAAACAAAACAAAAACTTGACTAAAAAAGTGCTATCTTTGGGAAACCGAAAGAGCTAGAGAAGAAGACTACACTAAAAGTATATCACAACTTATTTTCCATCCAGCTATTCAGAAAGGACGGCGGATATATGATCTTCACACCAAGTCACACCGAACTATATACTCCACGATTAGACAAAGGAACCCAACCAAGTATAAGTACAGATCATCGACCAAAAGGGAACCAACAAGCGCAAAAATTTTGCTTATTTGAAATAAATGGTATTTTTGATTTTGTTTTATTCCAACTAAAGGATATCCCGGGTTATGCCCGTATTTATTGTTAATAGATTTTTTTGCTATTTTGGTCTGTATAAAATTGTTTGATGCTAGTGGTTTTAAACTAAATTTTTTACTAGTAGTTTTAAAATTAATCCAATATAATTGTTTGTATATGTTTATGCATATTTTTTTTTCCAAAATCTCTTTGATTCATTGACTATTTGAAATTTGATAATACCAAAAATTAATTTATTTGGTTTAAACACAAAACTTTTAGAAGTTAAAATGTTATATATTTTATATTGTCTTTTTTCCTATTTTTAGATATTTGTGTTGTCTTTTTTTTGTCTATTATTTTATCTTTGTATCAGATAACTAATGACTAACGAATTTTGTTCATAGCAATTCAACTATTCCCTCGAAAAAATAAACTGAAGAAAAACTAAAACTCTCGAAAACTTTTTGTCCAGCTTCTAGTGCATTGTACCAGATGATTATTCTCCATCAGTACCTTAGGAAAGGAATATATTTTAAAATTTTATTGCTAAAATGGAGTATAATGAAAAATCAATAAATGTTGAAAGCAAAAGATACAATGATTTTTATATGTTGGATTTGTTTTTCCTTACATGTTAGCTTTGTCTCGTGAAGACTAAATATCTATGCTAAATCCTCTTTTACTTTTGCTTTTTTTTATAAAATCCTCTATTACTTGATGTGAGTATCCTGTCCATCTTTAACAATGTTGCTCCTTTCCCATATATCTTTTAGTTTTACACAGGAGAAAATTTGGAAAAAAATGCCAAGAACTTATATTAGTAACCATCTTCAAAAAGAAACGTTTGCGAGGATGAACTATTGTATTCTATTCCACTTAATTACTATGAAAATTTATAATTTTAACCTGAAGAGGAAAAGAAAATATGGTGAAAATGATGACGAGAGACTAAGCAAACCAAAGGCGGGTTTTTTTGTTTGTTGTCACTGGAGGATTTATATTAAACATGAAAAAATAAAAGGTATGATACTAAACTGGATAACCCAAAAACAGAGCCCTAAAGTTTTACGGGAAGCCAAACCCTAAAGTTTAAGGGAAACCAATCGAAACTAAAAGCAAAAGGGAGGAAAACCACAAACACATGAAAAAACTACTACAAAGCCTAGATCATTACTCAAAACAAACAAGTCCTCCTAAACTTTCAATCGGATCCGGGTTTAAAAAATGTAACAAATTTCCAAAATTAACACTCCTTTTTGTTCCCGCTTTAACTTTTCCCACTCTCAAATCATTTTCCCTTTGGATTTAAGCCTTTTTTTCTTTTTCTCACACCTTTATCAG